TAATCTTAACCTAACCTCACACATATTTTAGCTCGGTTAAAATCTTTTACGAACTAAAGATTTATTGCAGGGCTCTTTAAGTTGAATGTTTCACAAGGTTGTTAATTTAAGCAATAGATATAACTGCACATACGCTACATATAATTTTTAATATAAACACATAATACGCGAGTTTTCTAATGATGCACAATTACTGCCTAATGATCAAAATTAAAACATGTCGTCGAAATAGTGTATTCAATTAATATAAATCCATACATCATTCAGTTCATAGAATCAACTCGTTAAGAGAATTTGCACTTTCAGGAAATATATTTCACCCAGCAGAAGAATGGTATGAAAAGACGCAATTAAGATATATATATATATGGTACACTATTAAACTAGATTACTATAGTTAATTTCCCAACATGTACAAAGCCGTACGCCTAAGTTTTAAAAACCAAAGAGCACATTTCAATTTAATTTTTACTAATCTTTTGAGAGTCATTTTCATATTCGTGTTGATTTTTAATCAATTCGTTTATCTTGTGCATAAAAATACAAAATTCCTTGTGGATTAAATTTCCAGAGATTTCTTTTTTTGTTCTCTTTATATTAAACTACAGAGTTACTAACTTTATTTTAAACCCCATATTGCTTCTGGGATTAATGAAATTACAGGTTTTATCGGTTTATAAGATACATTCTTTGCCACATATCACTTGGAATTGATTAGTAAAAACTTGTGGCAAGTTTTAAGTACTTCTAAGCATATAATCAAAAGTTATATCTTTGAAAGCATATGTTAACATATCAATAAGTAGATGGTAAATTATGAAGAACTTACTCCATACTGCGCTCGACCCACAATCTGCGGGGTGGTGGGTTCGAATCTCCGTCGCCGAACATGCCTGCTCTTTTAACCGTGAGGGCGTTATAACGTTTCGACCAATCATACTATGTGTTAGGTAAAGAGTAGCCCAAGGCAGTGGGTGGTGTTAACTAGCTATATTCACTCTGTAGTCTTTCACTGTTAAATAAGGGACGGCTACTTGGAGAGGAGATGGGCGCCATCAGGCAAATCTTCCTGAGAATCACCAATGATGCACCACCATCTACAGTGCTTTAATGATCGTAATTGGCCTCGAGACTTAAAAAAGTACAAATTCTATACTGTAGAAAACAAGTTCGAAAAACATAACTAATATATATGGCTTTACGTCATGAAATGTGTACGAGTGCTTCTTTGTTATTGACTTAAGTCAGAAATACCGGAAATCAAAGTTTAATCTTTATCATGTTTGTATTTATATAAAGTTTCATTTTACGATATAGCAGAGAATCACATTTATCGGTAAGTCCATTCCACAAACGAGCACTTTGTAAAATTCTATTAAAATGTAATATATTGAATGATTTTATAATAAAATCGATGGCGACATTTTACCTAATACATAACACCCGACATGTTTTTTGTTTTTACTTCAAGCATTTCATTAAGGTTACAGATGTATACAAACTAAAGTATAAAATAAAAAAAAAATTGTCGTAAAAGCTCATAAAGAAATTCTAATTTGAGTTAGTATTTAACAAACAAATAATTTCGTTTACGTTTGAAGTGTAGAATTTGTAGTTTATTGTATTTAATATTCTTGAGCAAGCACAGTTTTACTTGATAAATTAAACTTTTTTGTGGGGGGGGGCTTAGGCGAGTAAAGTGCTTAACGGAGCATTTTAGATTTTCTTTCCAATTCTTTCTAATATCAGCGCTTCCAAATACCTGCAGGTCATGAGCCGTGTGTTACGCCTCAGGTACTTGTATGATGAAACTGGAATTAAAGATGCGTTCTAAACTCTGAATACATTCCGGATGTAATGTTATTAACGCTTCACCTATCTCTCACAACCACCTCGATGAATCCGACAAATTTCCGCGGACTTACACTGATTCAACTCACCGCAACGGATTATAATACTGTATTAACTGAAGTGTTGAACGAGGCTCATATTATGCACTTGAATAGACGCCTAATATTTTGTCTTGGTTTGCCATTTTTCACAAACTGATATTTAGTATAGCCTATAAGAGCAACGAGGCCTTCTTTTCAGGACGAATTTGTCTTAAAACGGCAGAAAAAGAAAACGTGACAGAGAGCTAACTTCATATATCAAGTACTTTATTTTTTTTTTTAATTTTAAGTACAATGCTACACAATGGGCTATCTGTGCTGTGTCCGCCACGGGTATCAAAACCCGGTTCTTAGCGTTATAAACCTTCAGACTTACCTCTAAGTCACTGGGGACAGTACTTCAATAAAGAAAGGAGTCCGTTCATTACGTTGACAGTTGAAAGCAATTAAAACCATATTCAGTATGAATTATACTGTAGTTATCAGGTGCTTAGAAAATTATTCTCAGTTGAAAGAAATTAAAAGTTAATACTTACTAGGGTTAAAACTAAATGGAAAGTGTGAAAGAAATGTTTATTAAAGTCAATATCATTTATCATATTTCATTAATTCGTCCCCTAAAAGTATATATTACGTTTTTTATATGATTATACAGCTGATCTTAGTTAAACTTAGGTGAGATTTCTAACAAGTTATGAAAGGTAAATAGATTTCAAATAGCAATAAGCTTAACCCTAACAAGATGGGTGTTCACGTGCGAAAACCAAGATCCAAATCTTTGTTAAAAACACTACACTAACGAAACGACTAGAGTTTTCCATTGAATATTTGACTAAGCCAAATAATGGTCAGACAAATCCAAAATAGAACTTTTTCAACAAGAAAACAACAATATGTTTGGACGAAGAGAGAGAAGATCTTTATTTTCGTTTGTATTATATATTTAGTGCTAATTTCTAATAAAGAATATCTACTTGGAAAAACGTTATGCCCCCCAGTGGCACATCGGTATGTCTGCGGACTTACAACACTAAAATCCGGGTTTCGATACCCGTGGTGTGCAAAGTATGGACAGCCCATTGTGTAGCGTTGTGCTTAATTACAAACAAAAAAAACGTTATTTTGTCTATTATACATCGGCCACATTCTAATCTTTAAAATATGAACGTTATCGGTGTTTATAACTGCTTGAATTTAAATATTTATAGCATGTGAAACACTAACCGTTTTGTTTTCATAATACTTAGATTTATATCTTTCAATAATGTCTACACATTTCTGTCTTCGCATCACGAATACCAAAGAGTGTTATGCATTCGTAATGCTACGTTACATTTGTATGGGGGGAATAGGAATTATTAACTTGAACGGGATCTTATGTGTGCAGGTAGTCAGGTAAGAAACCTTGTCTTTAACTTTGAACTACTGACCAGAGGGAAGACAGCCAGCAGCACCCGCCGCTGTAAGGATTTGCTCATTTTTTGAAGCGAATAGTGAGATTGAATGACACTTTTACAACGCTCCGACATCTAGCAATGCGAATCGTATTCAGCGACATTACATCTCGAAACTCGGACCCTTTCATGTGCAGTCCGATAAGCTAAATACTAGGCCACGCTCGGTCTATCATAAGAAATGATGAGCAGTAGCTGTCTATAAGCTATCCAATTTCATCACCAATACGACCCGCAGTCTTCAAATCTTCAATGAAAATTAGCAAGTGACCAATAATCACAGCATAAAGATTTTGTTTTAGCTTTTAATTAGTGTGCAATGATATGAAAAATAATTATAGTTTTACCCAAATGCCAAGCAAAAGTCTGTGAATTCAAATGACATATTCTTTAGTGTTTGTATTGTAGAAACTAGTCATAGTTCCATCATCGTCGAAATTTCTTTCGAAATTTGATATCTACCCTAGTAAGTTATTACGTTACTTTATTGCAGTACGATAACATTTACGACATGGATTAGTGTTAATAGGTTTGTCAAAACCTATACATCTTAGGCACAACTCTGATAGCCCCACATCGTCTTTCTTGTTTGTTTGTTTTTCTAGAGATTTTCTGATCTAGCAACATTCAAAAGTGTTCAGAACCACAAACATTTATTTTTTATCTAAGAAACCTCTAAACAACATGATTCCAAACATTGAAGTCTTGTTGAGAAATTTATCTTGTCTATGTTGCTTTGTTGTTGTTGTTGTGGAACTCATCATTGGCTGTGTCGAATGAACAGAAATTTCGGAAAAAAAAATTGAATGTCGTTTACGCAAAACATTAAGAGCTGCAACTTTAAGCAATGCTCGTATAAACAGGTTTTTGTAGGAATTAGCCTCTTTACATGTAAGTTGATATAGGATTTTATTTCTGTTCCATTATATTTTTTAACTACAGCTACATCCTATGCAAACCACGCATCTTTAAGAGACAACAGTATATTTGGTTTACAGTTTCATTATGTGTGTTACTTGTAAACACTGGCCGCAGGTTCGGTATTTACTTTCAGTTGATTGTCTTTTGTATATGAGGCTCGTGTTTTTATCAGTATTTAAGTTGGCTAGTTAAGGAGTTGTTCTATTGTGATTACTTTCTATTTGTTTGTTTGTCTGTATGCATGTCTGTTTACCTATAATTATTTAGTTTTTAAAACTTGGATTGGTTTAACTAAACTTACAGTATTACATAAGTTATTCGAGTTTTAAAATTACTCAAAACCAGTGAAGAAATTTTGATTTCACCATGACAACTTTTTCGAACGTAGAATTTTAGGAGTACAAATAGGTAGTTTTCAGACATCTTTAAAGATAGGTATAACGTTATAGCTGGTATGCAGATAATACAAGGAATGGGAGTATTTTTGCTATTTCTGAACCATTAGGTACAAAGAACACCCTTCGAATTTCACTTCTTTAAGAAATTTAAACACTTCTGCATAATTTCTTAAGCCTATGCTTCGAGAACTTTATATAGTGGGAAAGGTAAACGCTGTGTTTCTCACAGAAGAAAGCTTGTATGTAATACTTAAAGATACTTGTTTGTCACTTGGATATTTTGTGTTAAGACACTGAGTACTTGTTTTAAATATGAAATGTTTTTCTCCATTTAGGTTTGTACTGCCCAATCGTGTGGGACGAAGCCTATTGCTGGCCATATGTTCCAGCAGGTACCCTTCACAAGGTTTCTTGTCCATCTTACATCCACAATTTTAACATTAGTGGTAAGTGCGAACAGTTTATGCAATGTGCAGAATTATTGAGGTATACAATGAGACTAAAAATGATGTGAAAAATTGTTTACTTGCATTAAAATTTTGTTAACATAATTCCCATGCACCTGTATAAGATAATAACTGTAGAGGGTTAGCAAAAACGGTGTTCTTGCTGTAAACAGTTTTCATTCTAAGTAATTCTAGAAGTAAACTGTTGTACAAATCGAGATACTCAGAAGCTTAAATTACTTCTAAAGCGTTGGAAGTGAAATTAAACAAGCAAATACGAGTTGAATAACGATATTCATAACTTAAAACACAACAACATTAAGTTTTATGGTGCTTTTTGAACTTTAGTTTCACTATCTTTGGTCATCATTCCCACCCTCTTTGACTTACGTTTATAAAAACAAATGCCACGTACGTAGCTATGGCCTTCGTCAGCTCATTATTTTTCTTTTATCTCCCTACTCGGATGAAAACTGAACATATAATTTCATAGCAGGTAGTTTTTTAAGAAAGTTAAACTTCACAAGTTGAGTATATGTGTTACTAATGTATCTCAGCACTAGATATATCCCTGGTATTCCAAGGAAACCTGCATGGTGGTCGATTATAAGATTCACATCTATGATATCTGTGATGCTGGTTGATGTTTTTTCTTCCCAAATAGCCATCTAATAAAACAACAACAACAACAAACTCCATCAAGTTTCCTCTTCTAGTCTGAGCTCGATTTGTCTGCACAATCTCCAATCAGCAAACTCAAATCTATCAGTAGTTGTGTATTTGCATGTTAATGTTACCATTGTTTTCCTCAATAGTTTCATTTACTCTACATTCATGTGCTGAACGAAGAAAATTTCCAGCCAATGACTTAACAGTACAGTTACTATAATTATAAAACATAACTGAAATATATAATATATCTTGCTCTGTAGCTTGGTTGTATTTTTTATGTGAAACAGTCGGTTTCAGGCTTTGCTTATATAACAGCATTATTTGGTCGTGAAACCTGAGATTGCGTCATCAAATTATCATAATACACCACTTAGTTATTAGAATTGCAATATCAGCATTTACATACACATGTTTAGTCCACTGTTGCTATGCATATATCGGCTAGTCTTTTATAATTTTACTGTAAAACTGCAACTCCCCTGGTAAACAGGCAATATTAGCAAATAGCATCTGTAAGAAATCTAAACCTAAAATGTTGTTGCTAAAGCTAAAACCTGTAACAATAATTCACACATTTATTGGAGGCACCAACAGTGATGTGGAGTTAAATTTCTCCATTCACTACAAGACTGTCACTACTGTTAAGGTTAAGCCCCATGTTTGTTGTGTTATGGTTTACACGTGTTAGAGACTAGTGTACCAAGAAATTGTTCTAGCAGCATATATATTAACTTAATAACACTACTTGCCATCCGTGCACTCTCCATCAAGCCATACTCGTCCCTCTATAAATTAAACTAACCAATACAATTGAGGAAACGGACAAATACCCTATCTCTATCAGATCTGATCTAGCGCTTTCTAATCCAGTAGTATTTCCAGCCTACCATTTCCATTCGTGTGGCTACCTACCACTCGGTGGGTATGTGAGCTCCTTTGTATTCACAGGGGAAAGCTATCTATACCACACCAATGACCAGATTACCCATAGCTGTATCAAGTACCGCTCTTTCTTTGCTTTTGGTGTGACATCTCTTTATCAACATTATGAGTATAACTGAAGTTTTGAGATAGCTCTGCTGCTTTTCGTGAACCCATTTAAACTGAACTGAATCATTGTAAGCATATGCAGGGGTTGTGTCATTTGTTACAGACTCGCAGGTCGCAGTTCAGATATTTTGGCAATGCTAATGTTCAAAGTACTGGAGAGTAATCTGTTTCAACAGATGACTCCACCAACTAAATCAGTAATCCTCTGAACTCATCCTCAAATAAAAATGGTCTCTTTCCCTCTGCACTAAGTTTTGCTATATCTTACAGTATCCTACAACGAACATGTGACAGAGAAATACTTTTTAAAAAATCAAAAACATGGATTAGCTGAAATTTCTGTAATAGCTAGTTCCCGGTCTCTGGCATAAGAATTTATTGAAATAGACAGAAAACACAGTTTTCTGACCACTGAAACAACGAAATGCTCTTGAAATTAGTACATGGAAGAACAAGTGAAATGATTCAGCTGAGAGAGAGAAGACATGGTCAACTGGTGAAAGACCATTAGGAAATGATATGGTTCACAATACGTCTTGACGTCTTGAAAGTTAATACGAGATCTATTTAAAATTGCCAAAGCTACTCTCACAACCTATATATATATATATATGTGTGTGTGTGTGTGTGTGTGTGTGTATTTTAGCTGACCAAGCAAAAACCTGGATCATTAGAATCGGAATATATCTCTGCCTCAGATTACAGTCATAAAGTAACTTCACATTCAAGATAGTATTAGGTATAGTGCAACTATTCCGTGAAGAAAAAAAAACATCTTTGGCTGAGTATCATCCACGAAGTATCATCTCTGACTGAACTAAAACATGAAATTGTCTGATTTTAGCAAGTTCAAAACTAGAACTTTAGAAAAATTTTAAACGTTTTGTCTACTATTTTAGATATATGCTATTGGAGTGTGAGATATGGAGAATTTGTACACTATTCCAAGGATAAAACTAGCACACAGCTACCAGATTCTCACAATAATTGGAAATTTATGGAGGTAGTATGCAGAAAAGGAGGTATATTGATTTGTTGTAGGTGGAATGAAAGAGAAAAACAAAAGTAAACACTGTTTTCTAAAGACGAATGGAAAGAACATAAGGATGGGAAATTATTACATTATAGTTAAGCATGGAATCAAAATAAAATAAACCACATTTTAATTGGAAATAATGAAAGAAAGTGTCTTTAGTAGAATATTAATTAAAATGAACTGTGCTTATAAATAAACTCATAGTTATTAGTGATGGATTGTTAAAAAAAAAAAGAATCAGCAGACTAAATAATAAACAATATTGGAAATGGAGGCAAAGCTTACACATTGAGTATTGACCCTTCCGAGTCTAAGACAAACCTGTTTGAAAATACCAAAACCACTTACAGTCTTCCTTTGTCTCTCTCTCTCTCTCTGTAGCCTATTTATCAGAAAACTGGATCACAAGTATCTAGAAATATATATGTTTCATGTGACAGTCGTAGAACAGTCTCTGGTACACATAGTAAAGTAGAACTTAACAATCTCATGAAACAATTCAGAGTTTTCAAGATCAACTTCTACTACAGAAAATGACAACTAGGGTTGAATTTAGCACATATAGCACATGGACCTTTATCAGATTTAGTATGTTCCAAATTAGGACTTGGAGATACTTATAGAAGTGAGAAATATATAATACAGGTGGGGAAGATGTGTAGTATTTGCAGATCCCATTGGAATAATTAGTATAAGTTTTATTTTTTATATTTTACAATACTTTTTTAGAAAACATTTCAAAGGTATGATAGAATTACATTTAAGCTTTATAGAGTTTCGTTATAACAACTTAAGATATTCACAAATACACTGAGTTACATACATTTAATTTGGAAATTAAAAATGGTTTTTATAATCCCATTGTCTTCATTACTGTTCACCCCAAAATTGTCACGACATTCTTTGATTATGATTATCAAGTACATTATTTACAGCCTTGCATGTAGCTGTAGAGATCTAATCTTGTGGTCCTCCGGTAGAAGAATGGTGAGTCTACGGACTCACAACGCTAAAATCAGGGGTTTGATTAAGCACAAAGCTACATGATGGGGTATCTGTGCTCTATCCACCACAGATATCGAAACCCAGTTTCTAGCGTTGTAAGTCGAAGGACATACCGCTGTACCACTGAGGGAGGTATCGGTAGACACACCAGATAGTCCGAAGTGACTTTGCTATGAGAAAATCCACACATAAAATGCACACTAATCCTGTGGAAATATACCAGAATATTACATTTTTGAGTTGTTATTGCATCTACTTTGTATTATTCTCTTAAGTTTTTTCACTAGAAATTTGGGTCTTTCATAACACAATAACACATAAAAGCTAGAAAATATGAACTTGAAGTTTAAGTACTGAATGTGGCGCAGATTTCTCTATTTTAACATTTTCCTTGATGCCATTGAAATTAAAGCATTAGACACCTTTATTTGAATCTTTATGTCTTTTTTAATGAGAGCATCATAAGTTTTTTCATTTTTTTTCAAAACTTTATCAAGATACTAAGACATTTCTTACAATATATTGAAAATGATAATTTTATTTATTTGCATATTATGAACTAAATTTGATATATTTATTTAATAATATTTAAAGATGATTATTTTTAATATGTAATCATCAATAAAAAATGTTTAATCGCTGAATGCGCAAAAGTGTCTTAATGATTGTACATATATGTTGTACAGTTGTTCCGCTTTATAATATTGAATAATGACTTCGACGAAATATCATAACATTATTCACATACCTAAATTAATTTAGGTTATTATATGGTGAAGTAAAGCAGACTCAAATCCCCATAGATATGTCTTAATGATTGGTCTAATTCTCACGTAGTTCAAAATTGGTAAGAATATTTAATATATCGAATTTAACTTTAATTTCTGTAACTATACTTTTATTATAGAGATTCTTTTGCGTTGTTAACATAACATATGTATTTAGCACTAACCTAAATCTTCTAAGCTGGCCAAACATCGTGAGTGTATTATTGGGTTTACGGCCTAAACTACTGTTAACAGCGATGGAACAACGCGTTCTAATCTTTATCAGTAACAACGTAAGAAAAGCATGTTTAATTAAATATACTCATTACCAAGTTGATTTTTAAATTTGATCTAAGTAGATAGCTTGCTCTGATCGAAGATTAATATTGATTAACTACATCCTAGAAGACAATATCACCAATTTAGTTGGATGGACAAACAACATATCTGTTTTCTCACAGAAATTATCC